CAATTGCAACGTGGTCAATCGGGACCGTGGTCAATTGCTACGTGGCCAATCGGGACCGTGGTCAATTGCAACGTGGTCAATCGGGACCGTGGTCAATTGCAACGTGGTCAATTGCAACGTGGCCACTCGGGACCGTGGTCAAGTGCAACGTGGTCAATCGGGACCGTGGTCAATTGCAACGTGGTCAATTGCAACGTGGCCACTCGGGACCGTGGTCAAGTGCAACGTGGTCAATCGGGACCGTGGTCAATTGCAACGTGGTCAATCGGGACCGTGGTCAATTGCAACGTGGTCGATCGGGACCGTGGTCAGTTGCAACGTGGTCAAATGAAAAGGATGCTGGTCTGGTCGACGACGACGACGACGACGACGACCAGGACGACAAAGATGTTTCTTAATCCAAAATTTCACAAAACTGACTTTGCATTGCAATTGCATTGCAATACCTCCACTCCTGGGGCACGTAGGAGAAAAGTAAAAACACTTTTATTATGCAAATCGTGCCCAAGCTATCGATTAAACGCAGTCTCAAGTTCGTCGGATCTGTCGTTGTTGAGATCCGAAATTCTGAGGGCCCGTCAACTCGTGTACTCGCGTAAACTACACGGTCGGTCTCGCATGCGTGTAGTGGCTACGCTTACACTTGGCGCGAGACACTACCGTGTCTCGTGATATGCAACGGTATTAGCGAACAGACTAAGGGAGGAGGTGGAGAGCAAAGGGAAATTATCAACAAGTCAAGCGGAATTTAGAGAGAGAGTAGAGGGACGATAAATCAGGTGTACAGTTTGAATTATATGATAAATAAAAAAATAGCAGAGAAAACAGTAACAATGGTAGTGATGTTTTTAGACTTAAAGGCGGCTTTTAACTCGATGAACAGAGGGATTTGGATAGAGGGTATGAGGAGAAAGGGTATAAGAGACGGGCTAATAGGAAGGTGCGAAGAAGTATTAAAAGAAACGGTATGTAGTGTAAGGGTGGAAGAGAAAGAAGGGAGAAGATTTTGGATGAGAGTGTGGTGAGACAGGGATGTCCGCTGAGTCCATGTCTGTTCACATTAATGTTGGCAGACATGGATGAAATATTGGAAAGGGAAGGATGGGGGGATAAAGATGGGAGAAAAGGAGATATGGTCGCTAGCATATGCGGACGATGTGGCGGTGGTGGCGGAGAATGAGGTAGAAATGAAGAGAATGATAAAAGGACTGGAGGAATATATAGAAGGGAAGAGACTGGAAGTTAATGTGGAGAAAACGAAGGTGATGAGATGTGGGAAAGGAGGTGGGAGGTGGAAAAAGGTAGAATGGGGATGGAAAGGAAAAGAGTTAGAGTAAGTAAGAAAGTTCAGGTTTTTGGGGTACACAGTGATAGCAAATGGAAAAAGTAAGGAACACATAAAGGAGAGGCTGAGAAAAGGAGTGGTAGTAATGAGGGAAGTATGGGGAATAGGAAAAAGAAGGTTTAGAGATGATTGGTCGAGAAGGTTATGGCTGTTCAATAGACTAGTGTGGACAGTAATAAGTTATGGAGTGGAGATATGGGGGGAGAGGGGAGGTTGAGAGGATGCATGATAGATATTTAAGATGGGTGACAGGAGTGGGATGGAATATGCCGGGGTATATGGTAAGACAGAAGCTGATGAAAGAAAAAGTGAGGGGTAGGGCGGGAATGAGGGCTTGAGAATATGAGCGGAAGTTGGGAGAGGGAAGAGGGGGAGATAGCGAGATGGTGTTGAGAGGAGTGGAGGGAGAAAGCAAGAAGGGGGAAAGCGGTAGGAGAATCGGAAAGGGAAAGGATGGAATTCTATGAAGAAAAATTATGGAAACTGGAAGAGGTAGAGAGGATGAGAGATAGGGGAGAGATAAGGGGGGAGGAGATGGTAAAAAGGGAAAAAGCTGGCAGGAAGAGGAAAGATGGCGGAAAATAGTGGAATCGAGGACGAATATATGGTATAAAAGGATAAAGGAAGAAGGAATACCAGAATATTTGAAGAAGGGTTGGCAGGAAGAAAGATGGCAGAGGGTAGCGAGGTTTAGATTAGGAGAAGAAACGAGAAGTAGGTATTGGGAAAAGGAGGAAAAAAGGAAATGCAGGGTGTGTGAGTGGGAGGAGGAAACTTGGGAACATGTATGGGAAGAATGTACAGGTTGAGGGAGGGAGAAGGGGTGGAAGGAAATGGTAGGGGAAGTGCTGGAAGGAGGAGGCGAGGGGGACAAATGGATGACAAGGATAATAGACTGGAGAAAGGGAAGGGATTTGGAAGGAATGAATGAAGAAGGAATGGAAAGGAAGGAAGAGAGAGATGCGGCAGGGTGCCCAGGTGTGGCGATTTGTAGCCAATTTGGCTATTTTGCTCACTTGGTGGCGATATGATTTTCAGATTTGGCGACTGGCGATTTTCTGGCTACTAGTTACCCCAATAGGCGATTTTTTGGCTATCATACGAAAGCTAGGGTGCGTTCCGAGTTGCGCATGAAGCGCATAGACTGCTTTACTGTTGCGCAGCACAGGAAATCGTTCCGTTTTGTCAATGCGCATGAAGCGCTTTTAGTATTCGGAACGATTTCCTGTGCAGTCTGCGCGCTAAGCACCTTGAAAATGGACGCCATGCAAACCATCAACAAACGATTTCCAGTTATTGTGATATCTTCGGTGATGGTTTTGAAGAACGAAAGCGACAGTTCTGAATCGAGCGACAGTGAAAATGACGATGAAATTGAAAACATATCTCTAAATGATATGCAAACATTATTTTCCATACTAATGGCGGATAAATCACGTGGAGAACAAATTGCAGTCGAAAAAATTACGGATTACATCGATCGAGTGATTCCTAATTACACCAACGTTATATTTAAAGAACATTTTAGGTATGTATTCAACATAAATATCAACTTACCTAAAATATTAAGTTATTTTCCATCTAGTTTTATTAAATTCATATCACTTGTAATATAAAATTTAGGCTGTATCCCAGTACATTTGAAATGCTTTTATGGTAATTATGCATAAAAGCGACTTCCTCTCCGATTTGTTTTATTTTTAAATATGTTGTTGGGGATGTCTTCCCGAGTCATTTCATATATATATATATAAGGGGGGGACTCAAATAGTTTCGGAGATACAGGCTGAAAA